AGATTGAACTCAGGTCCTTGCGCTTGCACAGCAGGCGGCAAAATCACTGAGCTAAATCCCCAGCCCCCAGTCTCCTTATTTTATCTCTCAGATATCTGAGAATCACTTTAAAACTTACCTGTGAGGTTTCTCATTATAGTATGTGGCAATAGTTTGTTCAGTGGTATAGATTTTAGACTTTTAATAATATATATTAATGAACCTATTTTATATTACTTACTAAAATTTGCATTTTCTTAAATATGAAATATTTAGGAGACACATCAAGAATGTTTAGGAGAACAAAAAGCTATGACAGTCTGCTGACCACCTTAATTGGCGCTGGAATCCGAATTCTTTTTAGTTCCTGCCAAGAAGAAACTGCAGATTTGTTAAAGGAATTATCTTTAGTGGAACAGAGAAAGAATGTTGGTATTCATGTTCCAACGGTGGTGAATAGTGGTAAATGTGAGGCACTTCAGTTTTATTTAAGTATTCCCAATATAAGTTACATAGCTGCATTAAATATGTGCCATCAGTTTTCATCTGTGAAAAAGATGGCTAACAGGTATGTCTATTTTAGTAATTTTTTATTTTTTTTTGGTACCGGGGATCGAACTCAGGTCGTTGTGCTTGCGCAGCAGGCGGCAAAACCACTGAGCTAAATCCCCAGCCTATTTTAGTAATATTTTAAAATGATTGCTTTTCAGTGATTCTTAGCATTTTGTAGAATTTGAATATTTTCAAAAAGAGGCATGGTGACAGCTATATTTTATTCTATGAAGTTTCTTTTGACTGCTAACATTACTGCACGAAGCTGAATACTGGGAAAATCTGAAAAATAGTATAGTCATTGCCATTAGGGAACTTAGAGCTATATGGGGAGGCAGACAATAAACAACACCTGCATTTGACCTTGTACTCTTAACATTTCTGGGCCATTCAGTTCTCTAACTAGAAAAATATTCAAGGTGAGAATTCTACTAGTTTTTTTTTTTCCTTGTGGTGCTGGGGATCAAACCCAGGTCTATCCCTTGCCTATATAACGTCCTGGAGTGGATAGCAATGGTGGGAGCACATGCAGGGGCAAGTTAGCACATCTAAAGCCAGGCCCAGAGAGAGAAACTGGGGTTCCATATCCCTCACAGGGACAGCGCTACCTCTGATAACCAGAGGACCAGGCTCCCACCTCTTAAAGGTCCACCCATCTTCTAATACTGCCGCCTTGGGGTCCAGGTTCCCTACACATGAGCCTTTTGAGGGGACACAAACCATATCCAATCCATAGCACCAACACAGTGAGACTAGGGTTCCAACATCTGATTTTAGGGGGACACAAATATTTAGTCCATTGCAAATGTTGAAATCAATATTTTTGCAGGTTGGTGTTCTTTGGGTGAGTTAAGAATATTAAATTTTATAAAGGCCAAAGTTTTGAGTATAATGTTTTTCTCTGTCATTTATTTTCCAGCTCACCTGAAGAAATCTCCATGTATGCACAAGTAACTCATCGAAAAGCCGAGGAAATCTATAGATACATTCACTATGTATTTGACATGCAGATGTTACCAAATGATCTTAACCAAGATAGATTGAAATCTGATACATGATCAGACTACTCAAGATGCTGTTATTAAAGAACTCTCACAATACTAAATGCACTTCAATAATTGTGGTTTGTGATTATCAGTTTAAAATACGTAAATATTTATCATTTAGATATATATATATTTTTATTTATATGGAATATATAAATTATTAAAAAAGGATATCTTTGTTGTGCAATAATCATTTTGACTAACTGGAGTATGAAACTAACTTTTGAAATTAAATAACATTTGTTAAAAGTGCTATTAAGGGTAGTTAGATGTCTCCCCAAAACTTCAGTCATAGGTGGAGCTTTTCAGAGGTGGCTGGATCTAGAGTATGTGATGCTGGGATCAAGGGTGTGTGATTACTGAATTAGTCCTCTGATTGGTTTGGCCTAGTTCTGGGTATGGACAATGGGAAGGCCCACCAAGGGTGTGAGTGCTACCTGACCTGAGGGTGTGTAGCCTGGATAGAATATAAGGGACAGAAAGAGGGCTGCTGTAGTCGTTTGTCGGTTACTCCTTGCTTGCTGCTTCTTTGCTACTTCACTGCTTTGCTGCCTTCTGCCCGGCATAAACTGTTGCTCCTCTTCAGTGTCCCTCTGCCATGCTGCCCTGCCTTAGAGCCAGCCAACTGTGAACTGAAACCTCTAAAAGCTGTGAGCCAAATAAACCTTTTATCCTTTAACTTTGGGTGTGGGCTGTTTTGTCTCAACAAAGAGAAAAAACTAAAACACTAGGGGTGTGGATGGAAGGTGTGTTGTTAGATAAATGACCCAGTAACAAGGAAAAAAACTTAACTGTCATCCCCATCAAAGGTAACCAGGTCAAACACAATCAAACCCTACTAACATGAACTCCAAGCTACATTCTTTTTATTTATTTATTTATTTTTTGGTACTGGGGATCGAACTCGGGAACTTGTGCTTGCGAGGCAGGTGCCACAGAACCACTGAGCTAAATCCCCAGCCCAAGGTGCATTCTTTTTGTTGTTGACATATAGTCAGTGAAGTGGTACATTGGCTTAGACTTGGAAAGTTTCTTTTTTGTATGTTATTGAATGTGGACTTTTTTTTTTTGTACCTGGGATCGAACTCAGGACCTTGCGCTTGTGAGACAGGCAGCGGAACCACTGAGGTAAATCCCTGGCCCTGGACTTTCAGTTTGATGCATTGTGTTATTTGTGATGGTGTTGTATGTTTTAAAATGACTCCATGTTTATATCTGCAATGTGAACAAGGCCAAGGCCGTTTCTTCTACTCCTTGTTTGGTGAGAGGACACGGGGAATCTGAGCATGTGGTCATCTGCATGGTCAGCCACCAGGTCAGTGTGAAGTTGTGGAGGGACCACATGCTTCTGGGGCATAGCTCCTCTCCACACCCCACCACATGAACTATTGACAGACTGTGTGCAGAAAGTAGCCTTTAATTAGGGGCTGTTTTCCCTCCATCTAGAGTCCTTTCCTTATTTTTGTTTCCTGTTAACACTTGGGTAGTTGAACCAGTCACAGTGCAGCACTTTCAAGGCAAGCAGATCTCACCTACTTCAAATTGCATTTTTCCTTCCTTATTATATAATAATAATGAGGCACAGAAACAAGTGACTTACTCAGATTTAGCCCAGCAAATCTAAAACTTGAATCTGGGATCTAGATACTGTTGTTTCACTCTGCTGTATACTGGTAGGAGCAGGGAGGGGAGGTTATTTTAATGCTGAACTTTGCTCCTCGGAGATACTATAAATTGAATTCTTGTGACAACAGCTGACTTCTTATCTACAACAGCTGACTTCTTATCTACTGTCCAAAACTGTAAAGCCAGAGAAAAAAGAAATATCGTGTATATACTATGGCTGTTTTGTAGTTAAAAATTTTACTACTTTTCTGAAGACTGGATTTTCTCCTTTACATTGAACAGATGCTAAGCTTTGTCAGGAGCAGAAGAGGCTGTTCTCACTGGTTCCATTGTGCTGCCTCTCTTGTGTTCCTGCGCATGGTCTGTTGGTGGGGACGCGTGGACAGTGCTCTCCTCAGGAGCATGCAGTCCAGTCCCTGCACAACTGCACCTTGACCTGGATGGATGGCCCATGCTCAGACCCTCTCTGCATGTCTTCTCAGCAGACAAAAAAAAAAATGCAAACATTAACATGATGGGAGAGAAGTAACAGAGGACTTCATTTATTTGTAAATTATAAAGAGCTCTTTTTATCCCAGCTTGTAGTTGCCTCCTGTGTTCTCATTAGCACCCTACTGATTACCAGTCCATCTTCAGTGGACCCTCAAGTTACAACCACCTTGACATACCAACACCTTGGATTATGACCGGAGTTTCAGTTTTAACTTATGACCGAAGTCTTCAGTTACCAACCAAATGCTGGCTACTTGTGCTTCCAGATGGCCTCAGATAGATTTTACCCTTACAGAGTTCTGGAAGGAACATTACAACATCCTTTCCTGTGTGGGGTTAACTGAGAGATCCTGGGCCAGTGTCTCTCTAAGGACACTGAGATCCGCCTATGCACAGGAGAGACTTTGAAGGCCATGTAGAGGAGCCTGAGCCTGCAATTGACAACTTGAGTTACCACCAGCCCTTGGGAAAAAATTGTAAGTCAAGGGTCCACTGTATTTCAGTCCTTGAGCCCTTAGTCTTTTTTCTCCATTTAAGTCTTTGGTTACTTACCTTAGGCATTATTATTGGCTTTTTTTTTTTGAGACAAGATCTCACTATGTAACCCAGGCTGGCCTTGAACTCGAAGTGATCCTCCTGCCTCAGCCTCCTGAGTACTGGGATTATAGGCCTGCACCACCATGCCCGGTTATTAGCTTATTTTATGACCTAATAGAACCTTGCAGGTGGGGCAGACTAGTATAGGAAGGACACTGAAGGAACTCCCAGTGAGCCAGACTTACTGGTTGGCATCAAGTGTGTGCCATGTCAGAATGACCCTTTTTTCTGTGGTGGGGTTCCATAACCTTAATTTATACAATCTCAAACAGCACAGCCCATTAACCTCAAATAGCACAGCATTATATTAGCAACTCCAGTTCCACAACAGTACTTTTTAAGATCCTCTAAAAAAAATTCTTTCCACCCTGCATCTAGCAAGGTCTTTGGGACAGTAATTATCATAGTGTTTTATAGATGGAACCTATGGTTATACAACTGCTGTTACTGACTAAAATTCTGAAAAAACAAATTTATTTTCTACTGAAAGTTCAGGTATTTTTTGAGTAAATTTAGAAGCATTAACAGAGTGGACACAGGTTTTCTTTCTCTGAATAGTTAAAAAAACAAGGGGCCGGGATTTAGCTCAGTGGTTCCACCGCCTGCCTCACAAGTGCAAGGTCCCGAGTTTGATCCCTGGTACCAAGAACAGAACAAAACAAAACAAAAAACAACAACAACAAAAAGAACAACCAGAAACAAATCCTATAAAATCAAACTAACTTTATTTGAACAATCTACCTAGAAAGGATAGATGAATATGTACTATGACCAGGGGGAAAATATTTTATGTCAAATTTTAAAAACAATTGGTAAAATCAGTTAAAAGTTTATTTCTAAAGGAGCTGTTAGTGAAAGACAGGGTATTTACTATAACATTAACTTGTTTCCTTATAATAGTGGATCGATTAACTGAATGTCTAATATTTTTATTTTTTTAGTGTTTCAAGACAGGGTCTCGCTCTGGTAGCTCAGATTGGCCTTGAACTCACTATATAGCTCAGGCTGGGCTCAAACTTGTGATTACAGATATGTGTCACCATGCCCAGCCTAGTCATTTTAATATTGAGACCAAATTTAAACTTTATTTGTATATGTAAAAGGCTGCAGAATGCAACAGAAATCTGATCTCTAGTTCTATCTAATAAAATACTGAAGCAACAAATTAAATTTATAGTTTTGATAGGCCAATCACAAGTTTCAAGAAAAACAATCAGGAGAGAAGCATGTCACATAGTTTCAACAATATATGATTTAAATAAACATCAGATCAACTATGGCTTTAATACATGGTGGTGACAAAGCTAAACATTTCCATGAATTTAGTAGCCACCACTCTTCCATCTCCCTTGTGCTCCTCACTTTGGGAAGCAACATTTTTTGGGAAAACTTTAAAAATATATATTTGGGACATGTTTTATTAAAGCAAACAGATTTGGATACTTGTAAGAGTTAACTATATATTTTAATATTACAAACCATATTTACAAATGTCTGCATGAAACAATTTTCCTTACATTTTTGGTAAGATGCAACAATGGGGAATATTTTGGGATATTTTACTTTGCATTGCAAACATGAAACCTTTGAAAAAAGAATCCACATTTTCATATGAACCTACATCATAAAGAAAATACATAAATACTCTCTAAATGTAGATAAAAATACACCATCTGCTTTTTCGTAAGTCCTGGAAATCACATTTTTCTACACAGAATCAGAGTTTGAAAAATAATAATCTTTCTCTTCTTCATCTAAAGATTCCATAGCATTAGTGAAAAGTTTTCCAATACCAGAGTTTTCTCCTAAATCTGTAAAAAGGAGTTTAATAAAAGGATTAGTAAATTTCCACGTAATTTCAACAAAACTGAAAACAACTGTAAGGAGCTAAATGGCAGGTCTGTTGAACACAATCAACTAATTTTAGGACCATCTATGTAAAGAGATTACCTGATAATAAAACCATAATGCAAAAGAAATTACCTCTGTTAAACAGCGTTTTTCTTGTTGGGCTTGAGGAAACAGTTTCAACCTACAAAAGAGTTCATATTAATGCTAAGAGTAAATAGTATCTCCAGTGATAACGTGTCAGACGTGTGAAGTACGCTTTCTCTGCAGATGCTCTGCAACACTACTCACTATTGTTATCTATCAAAACCAATTTTAAGTTGAGTTTATCCAGGTAAAAAACCATGACTTTGTAAATGTTGTTTCTCACTGTCAGCAAACATCACTATAAGAAAATATTTATGAATGGATGCTACAGTGACTGAAGGATAGTCTATGGCCTTGAAAAGTTGCCAAACTGTACTAAGTACTTATTTGAATAATTACTGGGCTAGTAAACTTAAATCACACACACACTTTTTAGCATAATTAAAATAACTGGCTATAGGTAGAAACAAGAACACTAAATTTAGAAAACATACAGTATGAGAAAAACTCCCTGTACTTCACATTCTTGGCTAAAATGGTAATAACATGGCAAGTTTTAAGTGCATTCTCATATACATTATGTCAAAGCATTGGCCATATTTTTTTCCCTAAAAAATGAAGTAATGGGCTGGGGATTTAGCTCAGTGGTTCCACCAGCAGCCTCGCAAGTGCAAGGACCTGAGTTTGATCCCCAGTACCACACACACACACCAAGTAATGCAATAGAAAATATGACATAGTATACAAATATGACAAAGTACGACAAAGTAAGTATTGTTTGTGAGAAACTAACTTTGGAGATAAAAATTCATGCTCAGTAATATAAATGTATTTTTTCACTGTGAGAAGAGGCAAAACATTAAAATAATTCAGTAATGTAAACTAATATCACGATCCCTGTCAAACAACATGAAGAAAATAGATTAGAAAGCACAAGTAGCTTCCTCGGTGTAAGCAAGCATGGGTTTCAAACACTGAGGTGAGTACTTTTAACAATCCATGGCTCTCTCTCCTAAATATTGGCTGCAAAATATTAAGCTATGAAAAAATGTGACTAAATTATAATGGTATTATAGTTTGGTGGATCACTCAAATTATAGCCTAAGGAAAAGAAAAGGGACATAAAAAGAATTAAGATGTGTTATGTACATGTATCAACTCCCCACAATGAATGTAATCGTTGTGTACTGTAAACATGTACCAATAAAAATTTAAAAAACACCAAGATGATTCCAGAAACAGAAATTACAGTTCTTAAAAGCAAGGACCTTTTCATTTTGATTCTTGTACTGAGGATTGAACCAAGACTTTCACACTGAGCTATTCCCAGTCTTAAAAATTTTTATTTTGACACAAAGACTAAGTTGCTCAGGCTGGTGATCCTCCTGCCTCAGCCTCCCAGAGTGCTAAGATTATAGGAATGGGCTACCATGTCTGGCTAGGAAGGACCTGTTTTTCTTTTTTCTTTTTCAGTTTTTTGAGACAGGGTCTTGCTACGTAGTTCAGGCTGGCCTTGAACTCAGTGATCCTCCTCTGCCTCAGACACCCAAGTGCTAGAATCACAGGAGTGCACCACCAAGCCTGGCTAGAAAGGGATTTATAGATACATCCCTATCAACCTCTTCTCATTTTGCAGAGAACAGACTAAATGTATTACAGCCTTGCCACTCAATATGGTCTGAGGATCGACTGGAGCTCAACAGAAATGCAGAACTCAAACTACTTCAGAATCTGGGATTTAACAAGATCCCCAGGTGAATTCTATGCACATTTGTGTTTGAGAAACACTGGAGGAGGGCACTTACCAAAGCAACCCAGTTTACTGGCAAAATGAACTATAGAAGCCAAATCTTTAGACTCCCATTACTTTGTTAATTCTAGGTTCTTTGCAAAATAACAAATTTCATTCTCATTAAGGACTTTGGGATTGGATAAAGGGATCTTAGAGACCAGTGAGGAGTCTGTCTTATTTCATTAGGGAGCACAGAGTTCTTTGGAAGAACTGAGTCCCCAGACTAATTTTAAATCAAAGTCCCCACTATTTCCCATGTACAAATGAAGTCTACAAAGATGGATGTGATTATGGGCCTGGATTTAGCTCAGTGATTCCACCGCCTGCCTCACAAGCGCAAGGTCCTGAGTTTGATCCCCAGTACCAAAAAAAGGATGGATGTGATTATGTAATCTCAGGATTTATAGACTCTTGAGAGGAATTATGCTTTAGTCAGCCTGCAGTGTGAATATTTTAAAGTGCATATGATAGGGAAGGTTGCCCATAAGCTAGTCTGAAGGATACTTTCACGGGACAAAGGAGCTATCATACTTCAATGTTAGCTATTTACTCTGTGGAAATTTGAGGTGAATCACCTTTCCTAGAAACTTACTAATTATTTCTGGCTATCAGCTGTTCAAAATAAAATCAGTAAGTTAATTTTTAAAAAGAAATGCAGAGGATGTAGCTCAGTGGTGCCACATCTGCCTGGGAAGCGCAAGGTCCTGTATTCGATCCCTGTTTACTGCAAAAAGAAAGAAATGCAAGGGGATAAAGGACTTTATTATTATTTTTTCTTAAGAAGATACAGATCATTCTTATGGCAACCTTGAATTAACATTTTTGTGATTGTATTTTAAATAATGTTAAAAAAATTAAGTAGCTGAATCTAAAAAAAACATTTGAAGCTGGGTATGGTGGTGCATGCCTCTAATCCTAGTACCCAGGAGGCTGAGGCAGGAGAATCACTATGAATTTAAGTCCAGCCTGAACTACAGAGACGTTTTTCTCAAAACAAACACACTTGAAATTATTTTAAACATGCAAGGGATTTGATGAAAATTTCTTATTCTATGAAAATTCATGACTCCCTTAATGGGGATGGACCATTACCCAGTTACTGAACTGCTTGAAATTCCCTTCCCTGACCTGTATTTTTCACCTAACCTCACTTTTCAAATGGAAATTTTTTAGCTATTCTCACCTGGCCTCAATGCTTTGTTCGGTCTATGAGCTGCTGTCTATAGCCCTACAAGCATTTTTATATGTATTTCATTCATACCAGAAAATTAGAATTTACTTAAGTCTAAGTCCCTGGAGGGCATAAGTTGTATCTACCACAATTTATCACAGAATATATTGTTCTACAGATAAGTATTGGATGGGTAAAAATAAAAACACTTACTTTTTTTTTCTTAATGTTGCCCCAGGCAATGCCACCATTACTCCTATGATTTTTTTGTATACGAGAAACATATTTATCACAATCATTCCTGTTTGGATATAACATAATTTCAAGTCAACATTAATCATCATACTTTTGCCTACAAGTTGAACAGCAATTGATAAAATCTATTTTAATATTCAAAAAGTAGACTTTGTTTTAAAGATGGCAATGGTGCACCTATGGAAATAACAAAATCCTTCAAACTTTTTTTTTTCCTTCAATCCTAGGAACTGAAACAAAGCCTCTGCACTGAGCTATTTCCCCACCCCCTTTTAAAATTCATTTTGAGACAAGGTTCTCTAGGTGATGAATTGCTCGGCTGGGCATGAACCACCTCAGCTTCCCTGAAGGGTGTGGTTACAGATGTGTGCCCCGCACCCAGCTTTCACCAAACACTGTAAGGGAAAGACTGACTAAGACTGCTCTAGGAAATTATGCTTTGGTTTCTGTCCCATCAATACTCTTCCTCAAGTGTATCTTGCTGCTTCTCTTCTCCAAAACCCTGAGTTCTTGTCGCTGGATACCCTTTTGTTACGCCGTGTACCCCCTTTTTCTGTTCACTTCCTTCACTATCCAGATTGAATTTCAAAGGTGATCACTTTAAGGATATGCCTGATGCTGAAAACCCTCAATTTGTACCTTCCGATTGTGTTGTTTTCATCCAGCTTAGCAAGCCTTTTATTTCTACATAATCAAATGCATTTTCCATATCAGCTATGAAAATTTCAGTGATTTTTCCCATTTCTGTACTGTGCCAGGTACTCTTATTTATCAGTCTGCACGGATGAAGAGTCTCCTGGAGAAGTGACTGGAGCACAGGGATGCTGCACCACGTTCACAGCTGCCTGGGGTCAGGAGGGGGCCAGCTAGAGGAGTGGTCACTGTGCCCACGGGGCGCATCTCACTGTGCAGTCTCCCTGCACTCGGCTTCCCACCCCCTAAAGGGAGCAGCTTGCTTTTCCATGTCTTCTGCCAGCATGTTCCTGCCTTGGAGGGAGCCAACTATGTGTTGAAAGCGAGCAAAGCTCTTCTCTAAGCTGTGGGTGTTGGGTATTTTGTCCCAGCAACAGGAAAGTTGACTAATACATTTACCTTCTTTCATCTCCAGCTCATTCTTAGCAAAAAGCACTGACTTATAATTTACTGCTGAAAACTGAAGCCAAACAAAATGGTTATTTTCCATTTCCCTCCCTCCAATTCCTAGTCTCACTTATGACAGTAAGGAGGTGAACAATTCTCACTCTCTCAGTCCCAAGATCTCACATAAGCCATTATTCTCTTTTCATTATGACTGTATAGGAGCATCTTCAAAGGTATATGATATAATAGAAATTTGTAAACGTGTGACTGTATTACAATATTTATATTAATCCAAGCACTGCTATGCAGGAAGGGCAAAGTGCAGTTGCTATTGCTTAACAAAGGAATAGGCCTGCTCAACTATGTAGGATCAATACCTCCTAACTACTGTATGAGGCAGAGAAGTTTTCACTTCTGAAGCGCTGTTATAAAACTGTTATAAAATGTAAGCCAACTACTGGAGCTGGTGAAGTCAGGAGATAGTAAAGAGGCCTAGGAAGTGAGAAAACAAACTTAAGAAACACAGATTCATGATGTGAGCAAGTCTGTGATGCATGTTCTCTATAAGAAAAAGCAGGCACATTTCCTGAATTGTAACAGCAGTAAAAACAGAGAAATGCCTTTCCATGAAAACAAAAACCTAAAACGTACACCACCAGTGTCATTCAGTAGCCTGATGATAATGGCTGTTGATGTTTTAACCCCCCAAATTTTATTTCTCTAATGAATTCATGTTGTGTAAAATTGGGTTCATGCTGTATGTGCTTTTATTTCTTAACTGTGAAAAATTACTCTCCACTGAACATTATGTCATTAAAAATTCTGGAAAACATGATTTAAAAAAAAATTTTTTTTTTTGGTTTTTTGAGGCAGGGTCTCCCTTTATAGTTCAGGCTGGCCCTGAACTCACTATGTAGCCCAGGCTGTCCTTGAACTAGCAGCGTTCCTCCTGCCTCAGCCTCCTAAGTGCTGGAATTACAGATGTGCGCCACCATGCCCGGCAAAAACATGATTTTTAATGTTATATATTATTTTGGTATATGGAGATTTTCAAGACCATTCCCTTCTTTTAGACTTTTAGGTTATTTTCAGATTTTCAGTATTATGTATTCTGATGAATCTTTGTTTATACCAATATATATATTTGTCTAAATCTCTTATTTCCTTAGAATTGACTAATAAAATTCATATTTTAAGGTTTTTACTACTGATTTAGCCAAAGTGTTTACCAAAACCTTATCCAAAGTTATACTATCAGTATACTTCACCTGCCTTAAATAGTAAAACAAAATAAAAAATAATTTGTGGATTGCAAAATTTTTTTTTCTCCAATAAATGCAAAGTAAAATTTCACCAAGCTTTATGAGAGTATTGACTAGGTTTTCTCAATCATCATTTGGCTTCTCTCAATACTATGGAAATTGCTCTAAGATCAGCATTGGTCTCTTTAATTGCCCAGTTGCAGGCCTCCTTGTAATGCTTTCCATCTTTTCTGTGATATTTGAATGTTGGCTACTCTTACTCTTAAAATTTATTCATATTTCAACTTATGTCCACATGGTTCAAAATTTAAGCCTCCCTTTGTCCCTCATTACCTTAGTTCCTCTCCTAAAAGATCAATTTTAGTTTTGTATATATCGTTTCAGATAATTAATCTAATAAAAGTTATTATGTATATATGCACATATATAAGCACACACCTACATATATATTATATCTATTTTTTAAAAAGAGTCCACCAAAAAATGTATACATCAGGAAAAGAAAAACTTGTATAAATATTTTAATACTAAATTTATTGAAACATCATGAGATTAATACAAGTTACCTTTGGCCTCTATAATTCAAGAGGTGCTCAGGGTAGTGAGCATTAGCTTCCAGACATTTATTAATACAGCAAACTGCTGAGGTGTGTCTACATTTTTAGGGCAGACTTTATATGTATGGCCTCCATTTATAGAAAGAGTAGCACATAGTCCAATGCATCTAGTGTCTTTCACTTAATATATCTTGGGGATTTTATCAAATATTAATAAAAACTTTTCTTCATTAATTTTGACAACTACATATGTATTAGCTTTCTTGTCACTGGGTCACAACACCCAACACCTGCAACTAAAAAGAGGGGAGGTTTAATTTAGTGCATGGTTTCAGCGGATTTAGTCCATGGTCAGCTGACTCCAGGGGAGGAACATCACAGTGAAGGGCGCAGTGGAGCAAAGAGGCTTAGTCCATAGTAGCTAGGAAGGAGAGCAGGGAAGCACTGCCAGAAAGTTAGTTTCTCCCCTTAAAGATCAATTTTAGTTTTGTATATATCTCTTCAGATAATTAATAAAAGTCATTATGTATATATGCACATATATAAGCACTTTTAGGAATTATTCATTCTTCATTTTTTTTTAATCTCTTTTTTTTTGGTACCAGGGATCAAACTCAGGACCTTGAGCTTGCCAGGCAGATGCAGCACCACTGAGCTAAATCCCTGGCCCTCATTCTTCACTTTTTTAAAAAAATGATAACTCTTCCTATACTGCTTCTACATTCCTTAACCTACAAAATGCTTAGGAGAAATAACAGTACAAGAGGGATATGCCCGAGATGACCTTGGGAAAGCCCAAACCAATTGCACCAACAGCTTGGATTCTCTGCGTGGGCTTGAGTGAGCAGGGCTGGACAAGCCCACAGTACTGATGGACACTCCAGGAGTGTAAGATCACCAGTCTGCATCCTCTCCTTTTTCAGGGTGACTGCTGACCCAGGCCTTGGAACCCCTCTTGACCTGGGACCTACCTTAAGCCCTAAATCCAGCCACAGATGGAGGCGGAGAGCTCTCAAAGACCCAGGAAGAGAATGTGTGGTGTGCTGGGGGAGTTGGATGTCTCAGCCTGGCAAACTCAACATCTCTGTGTTGTCTTGCAAAAGCCACCAAAGGATTACAGAGGGGAGGAGGTTGAGGCTCGGGAACACCCAGGCTCCAGCCCTTCCTTGCCTCCCGTTGCAGGGGGACCAGATACTCTGGTGTGTTAAGTTTCCAGGGGCTAAATAAAATCAAGGTGTCAGCAGAGCCAGCTCCTTCTGCAGGGTTCAGGGGAGGATCTAGAGGCTGCAGTGCTTCCTGGCTCTGGGCTGCACCATGCCCATCTCTGCTCCTCATGTCTTTGCTCCTTCTTTCTCTCTGACCCTTCTGCCTCCCCGTTATAAAGACCCTGTGATTGCCAGGCACTGTGCTGCATGCCTGTAGTCCCAGCTACTTGGGAGGCCAAGGCAGGAGGATCCCAAATGTGAGGCTTAGCTTGGGCTATTTAGCAAGACCTGGTCTCAAAAAAAACCCCCACTAAAATACCTCAAAATACAAAAATACTTAAATGTTCCCCAATCTGCTGATGCAGGAAATTAACATATCACACACATAAATATTTACCTTTTTATAGAGGCTAGCATGCCAGGGCTGACGTGCTGACATTGAGGAGTTTTTGCCAATGGAAAGGTAACTGATGGAGTTGCTGGATTTCTGTCCATAGCTGGCAGAATGTCATCACCATCTTGACTGTCCCAGAAACTTGGCAACTAGAAAACAAATTGGACAGAATATCATTGTCATCTTGACAACTGGAAAATAAATATTTTCAGCAGACACCTGAAAAGATGAATTTTCTTATTATAATAAAATGATTTTTGGTGGGCTGAAAAATTGTTTTCCTCTTTATAATTCTCCAGATTAGAGAATTTATAAAAGTAAGCAGGTGAGAGCCTTAGTTACTAAGAAACTAAGTTTTTCTTCTGCAAAATGGAGACAGTGACACCTATTTCTAAAGGCTATATAGACCAGAGAGAGATAGACAAATATTTTCTGTAAGGAGGTCTGTCACTGTAGCATGAAAGCAGTCATAAACAATATGCAAACAGGGCCAGGGATTTAGCTCAGTGGTTCTGGCACCTGTCTCGCAAGCGCAGGATCCTGAGTTCGATCCCCAGTACCAAAAAAAAAAAAAAAAAAAAGAGACAATATGCAAACAAATGGGCATCGCTGTGTTGCAATAAAATTTTGTTTGAATAAACAAGCAATAGGTTGATTTTAGTCCACAGGGTGGAGACAAGACAAGACTGTATTAACTATGATGCTTGGTAATTAATGGGTACTCAACCAGTATCAAATCTTTGTGCACATGAACAATTCAATCCTTAAGATTTTACTTAACCTTCATATTAAAATAATAGACTTTGCAGGGGATTTAGCTCAGTGGTGCTGCTGCCTGCCTTACAAGCACAAGGTCCTGAGTTCAATCCCCGGTACAAAAAAAGAAAAAAAGACAATAGACTTATGCTATAGAAAATGAGCAAATTCATTGCTTTTGATTTTTATTTTCTATGTTTTTAACGTTGCTATTATTGCCTTTAGGCTCACACATACATATCTGGGACATGAAATGATGGTGGGATAACATAAAGGGTATAATCCCTAAAGAACCATGGTGCTGAGAAGGGAACACTGTAGGGACTAAGATCACTGGCTTAAAATAACCTTCTGTAACTTGTATAAGTACAAAGGAGGCCGAAATAATGCTGTTATATACCTTGGTAAAGCACTACACAGCCTTTTAAAATTGAAGATGATCGGATGATAATATAAAGAAAGTAGTAGCTAAAAGAGTCACTTTTTAGTCTAGTTCACTAATTCAAATCTTTTTTTTTTTTTTTTTGGTACTAGGGATTGAACTCTGGTCCTTGTGCTTGAGCAGCAGGTGGCAAAACCATTGAGGTAAATCCCTGGCCCCACTAATTCAAATCTTTAAAGTTTTACACTCAACCCATTTATGCCTAAGATTGAAATTTTTTGAATTTTTGCATGAAATTCATATATGTTACCTAGAAAAATTCAAGGAAGAAGACTTTGAAGAGAAAACATTTCATTATATTCCATTGTTATGGGAATTCCAAAAACGGATCACTAGGTATTGAAGGGTTAATAGATCAGTTGTCCACATCCACATATACATGCATTACTTTAATTTTAACAGAGATAAAACTTCGATTCTAGAAATAATCCTAAATTTTCACTTAACATTTGTACCATTTTTCACTGTTTATGAAATAAATTTATTGGATATGTAAATTACTTCCAGGTTTTTCTGTAAAGATAAATTTAAAATGAATATCTTTGTAAAATATTTAGTCTTCTAAATTTCTTAGGATGAACTCTCAAAAAGAGAATTAGTCTTCATAACTTGAAAAATATTACCATGATTTCTGAAAGGTATGAATGTATCTCCATTGATATGACTATAACAATATCAGGTTTGATTTTGATAGTGGGAGATATTTTGACTTACTTTTTAAAAAAGAGATTCTTTAATTTAGAAGGTATGCATACAGTTTATTTTCTTCTATTACTAGGAAAAATGATCACTTCCTCAAATGTTTTGCCTTTAAAATTTCTTGTCTTTTTTCTTTGATCTTATACTTTATTATTCCAGTTACATTTGAATGAATTCTGTACACTAGATATTGACTGTGTTGTATTTGTTGTCGATATTTTATTCCAACCACTAAAGTTTTTATTTATGCTACTTTTCATAAAATAAAACTTTTTATATCCTTTAAAGTGTTGTCTTATGGCATATTAATTTTTATTGACTGATTAAGACAGGGTCTCACTATGTTGTTTGGGCTGGCCTTGAACCAACTATGTAGTCCTGGTCTTGCACTTGTAGCAATCCTCTGTCTCAGCCTCCCAAGTGCTGAGATTACAGGTGTGTGCCACACATCCCTTGCTATTATTTTATTTTTAAATTGATAATATTCTTATTTATGTGATAGTGATTATAATTCAGTATGTGTATACAAAGTATAATAATCAAAATCAGAGTAATTAGCATTTCTACTTCTAATATTATCATTTCTATGTGGTGGTCTATAGTATAGTTTAACTCTAATGTTTCTTTGCTTTTTCTATTTGGATGATCTGTCCACTGATGAAAATGGATTTTGAAATCACCAACAACTGTATTACTGTAGCCAGCATTATATTTTCTCTCCCTTTAGAATTAATAATGTTTGCTTTATATAACTAGGTGCTCCAGCATTGGATGCATAGATGTTTTTAACAGTTATTTCCTTTTGTTGAATAGTGACTTTTTTTTTTTTTTTTGGTATCAGAGATTGAACTTGGGTCCTTGCGCTTGCACAGCAGGTGGTAAAACCACTGAGCTAAATCCCCGGCCCAAATAGTGACATTTTTTGTCTCTTTTTGTGCTTTTTAACTTAAAGTCTTTTATGTGACATAAGTATAGCTATTCCTACTCACTTTTTTCCCATTTGTGTGGAATACTTTTTCCTAACCATTTAGTCTATGTGGTAGTATTACTTGTAAAACTTCTTCTAGGTAGCATATAGTTGGGTCATTTTTATCCATTCAGCCACTCTGTATCTTTGACTGAGATTAACATTAAAGGATATTATTAATAAAAGTTCACTCCTCCTGCCATTTTGCTAAATGATTTTGGATTGTTCTTTATACTCTTTGTTCCTTTTCATCTCTCACTATTTTTGTGATTTGGTGGTTTCTTGTAGCATAGGGTTTGATTCTTTTCTCTTTTTCATTTACATATCTTCTTTACCAGTGCATTTTAGCTATTTGTATATTTTTATAATGTAGTACTTATTCTTTCATTTTTAGATGTTGTACTCTATGCATTTCTTAGAGAGGCTGTATAGTGATGATGAATATCCTGTTGTTGTTTTTTTAATCTTAGAAAGGTATTATTTCTCCTTTAAAGGATAGGTTTGCTCAGTATGCTATTCTTGGTTGAGTTTTTTTTTCTTTTAGAATATTGAATATATTGTTCTATTTCTCCTACAAGATTCATTCTGTTTATTTTGTCTTATAAGGTTTTTGCTAAGAAATCTGCTGTTGGTCTAATGGGGTTTCCTTAAATGTGACTTGGTATTTTCTTTTGCTGTTTTTAGAATTCTCTTTGTCTTGGACTTTTGCCAGTTTGAATATCATATGCAACAGAGAGGATCTTTTTATTCAGATATATTTGGGTCTCTAAAGTCTCCTGGATATGTATGTTCTCATCTTCCCCAAGATTGGCGAAGTTTTGAGCTATTGTTTTAATGGCTAGTTTTTTGTTCCTTTTCCTTTACCTTTTTCGAAGCTTATAATTTGAATTTTTTTTTTCATTTAATGGTAGCCCCTAAGTTTTAGAGGCTTCTCTTCATTCTTTTATCCTTTTCTTTCTGATTGCAGTATTTCAAAAAAACCTTTCTAAAGTTAAAAAATTCTTTGTTTCATCTAGAATGTTGGTAAAGTACTCAACTGTATTTTTTATTTGACCTAATGAGTTCAATTTGTGATCTCCATTTCTTTGATGAATTTGGTTTTTTTTTTTGGTACCAGGGATCAAACTCGGGACCTTGTGCTTGCGTGGTAGGCGGCGGCACCACTGAGCTAAATAAATCCCTGGCTCTTTGATGAATTTCTTATTCATAGCAATAGCTGTTTTCTTATTTTCACTGGATTGTCTGCCTGTATTCTCTTGTATCTCACTAAATTTACTTAGGATTATTCTTTTGATGGGGCCGGGATTTAGCTCACTGGTTCTGGCGCCTGCCGCACAAGTGCAAGGTCCTGAGTTTGATCCCTGGTACCAAAAAAAAAATCTTCAGGATTATTCTTTTGAATTCTTTAGGCAATTCATGAATATCCTTTTCTTTGAGTCTGTTGGGTTCCTTTGGAGGTGGCATATTATCTTGATTTTTTTTTCATACTTCTTGTGTTCTTACATTGCTTTTTCTGCATCTGGCAGATGAGCTGATTCTACACTTTTATAAGTTTTCATGGAAAGCTTTCTCCAGATATGTTCATTTTTATTGTGGTGGTAGTGGAGTTTTTCTGTTTGTTTTTATTTTTGGTCCTAGAGATTGAACCTTGAGACTTCATACTGAGCTATACCCCCAGCTCTTTGTATTTTTTTAAAATTTGAAACAGGGTCTTGTTAAGTTATCAAGTTGCCCAGAGTGGGCTCAAACTTGTGATCCTGCTGCCTCAGAATCCCAAATTGCTGAGAATGCAGGCATGTGCCACCACTCCTGGCTTGGTCTGGTTTTTTGAGACAGGGTCTTGTTACGTAGTCCAGGCTGGTTTTGAACTTGATGATCTTCCACTGGCAATGGCAGTGGTGGCATCAGGAACCCAGAGTAGAGTAAAACCCCTCAGGCATAAGCTCTGCTGTTGGCAGGGGCAACCAGTAATGGCAGCTGTAGTGGTGCTGGGGCACTGAGTGTGCTCCCTTAGCAAAGGCAGGTTGGGGACATGGTCCAGGCCCAGTGGTGGCCACTGGGGCTGAACCACCTATCCTTGTCATGCAGGGCACTGTGCAGGCCTAGGTACTGCAGCCACGGCAGAAGCTGTAGATTCCTGTCCTAGTGTGGTACAGTATCAGTGGGACCCTGGGGCTTATTGCTTAGGGAAGTATGAATTCTGTGACTCTGTTCTCAGGATGGTGCCAAGCTGCAGCAGTCTAGGTTCTTGAAATGTAGTTATCTAACTGTTGCTTTGATCATCTTTACAGAGGAAGAGGTAAGAGCTGGGCACCTCTGTTCCACAATTTGCAATCTTCTTAAAATTTAAATAGCTATGTTTGGCTTACTTTTTTGTTTTCTATTTGGTTTTACAAACCTTGCCTTTGAACCACTGATGGCAGATGCTAGAAACCAGTGAGAATGGCAGGTTCCAGCATGTTGTTTTCTATACTATTCTTTGGTCATGTTTATGGATGCTACTGCTACTTGGCCTAAATATTAGTGATGAAGATTAACCATGCATACAAGTGAAAGATGAAGAAGTCAATATAGGTAAAGCAACCAGCAGTTTCATGCATTTGAGACTCTTACCAGTACTCTTTGATTACGCAAAGGTGTTGTACTGAAAAAATCATCATGGTCATCTTTTGGCATCTGTTCCAGAAAATCCCTCATTTGTTGCTTCCTTTTAAGTGTTCCCACTTTGGCAGTTATCTGAACAGTCTTCGTCTTATTAGCACTGTCTGTGTCACCTTAAGAGTTAACAAGATATTTTGATAAAGATTTGGTCATTTACAATAATGGCTTTATAAACCTAACAGGCTCTGTTATTTTAAGTTTCCTGTATTTCAAGTGATTTCACACTGAGATCTGTAGAATGTAATTAGCCCACATGACAATCATGAAGAACTGTGAGGGCCGAGGATTTAGCTCAGTGGTTCTGCCACCTGCCTCGAAATCCCAAGGACCTGAGTTTGATCCCCGGTACCAAAAAAAAAAAGAAGAAAAAAAAAAAAGTGAGATCATGGTAAAAAGATGTTGGGCCAGCAATTTAGCTCAGTGTCAAGGTCCCGAGTTCAATCTCCGGTATCAAACAAAACAAAACAAAACAAAACAAAAAACCTTTGGCTGGGGATTTAGCTCAGTGATTCTGCCACTTGCCTCGCAAGCACAAGAACCTGAGTTCGATCCCTGGTACCAAAAAAAAAAAAAAAAAAAAAAAGAACTGTGGAAGATCAGGCAGGGTGAGAATGCAACTGTCATTACATTGTGAGAAAGGCAATATCCCATACTCTCATTACTGAGTGCCTGATTTATTTGGCTAAAACATAAACCTTGGAACTATGCTAGGCTAAGTATTCTCTGAAGATTATTGTAGGACTTTTCTGGCATAAAACACCTTTTACTAGGAACTATGAGCAGGATGTGCAATCCTGGGACTATGAAAACTAAATTTACTCTCAGCTCAGTATCTTCATGAATTATTAGGGGCTCTTAATCAAGTAGCTTCAAATTAAGTTAGACTCTCAGAGCAATAATTCACAAACTGAAATCTCTCTATCCAATTTCAGATTTTCTCGAAAAAATTCAAAGCACAAGGGTACTAAAACTAGTATTGATGCAAGTAGCTACCTAGGTTAAAACTGAAAAATTAAACATGATCTCTGAAGTTCTTTTGAACTTTAACATTTTAAGAAAACACTTGTACTAGGAAAAAAACTATTATAAAGGTTACCATATTGACCTTTGGGATTGGCTTGCTTTCTCTTGGCGGTATTTTTCTGAGATTGTTTTCGTCGAGGATCTTCCATGTATTTCTTCTGGCATTCTTTAGCAGTTCGAGAACCTACCACCAGAGCAACATCTGACCAGAAGCCAGGTTTGTGCTTTGGAAGAGATGCAAAAGCACTATGGAAGACCAAAAGGAGTTAAGGAACAAGAAACTCAAATCAATAAAAGTAAATTCCTAAAGGCATATCACTGAGCTAATGAGATTTACTGGGCTGAAGGAATTTTACCAAAATTATTCTAGATAACTATTTGGGGGAAAAGGACGCTATTCCCTTTACTAAGTAATTCACTCTAGTGCTTCAAATATGAAGATGTCATTTTACATATTGAGAGACATCTTCTTGCTCTTTTGTTGTATTCTATTAAACCTGAAAACTTTTCCCATCTTCCAATTTTCTTTCTTTCTTTTTTTTTGAGTCAAGGTCTATATGGCATAGGCTGGCCTCGAACTCTTGATCTTCCTGCCTCAGTCCCTCAACTGCTGGGATTACAGGGATGTGCCACCATGCCCAACATTCACTGTATTTTTTCTTAGTCCAACTATTCAGTGAGTTGATATTTGGGGAACTCTGGCATGACTATCTTTTATACAGTGTTTCTCAAATCTTACTTGTGCTAAGTGTGCCAGGAGAGAAATTCTTAGTTCTTAACTATTCAAGGTTATAAACTCTTTATCAGAAAGTTTTATGCTTGGGAGGGATAGAAAAATAAGGTGGTCTGGATATGACCAATGCATGATGTAGGCATGTATAGAGCTCTCACAGTAAATCTCATTAACAATTAATGTGCTAACAATAATAAAAAGAAACTACAAGTTGAGCATCCACTATCTGAAAAAAAAGTTTTATGCTTGATTTCTGTTTCAGTATATATGCTGTTGAAGCAAGCACATGCTTGATTTCTTGTACTCTTAATTTATACACCTCAATATATTGTATTATTTTTTTGAGACAGGGTCTCAGTATGTAGTTCAGGATGGCCTTGAACTCACTAAGTAGCCCAGGCTGGCCTCAACTTGGGGCCATCCTCCTGCCTCAGCCACCTCAATGCTGGGATTACAAGCATGTGCCACCATGAGTAACCTCAGTATTTTAGAAAAAATGTTCTCAATTAAGGAAAGCAAATGAAATAAAAAAATATATTACTAAACATAATGTAGTTCCCAATTCAACATATGAATTACTTTCTAAAAGTTCACTTGTAAATGATTGTTCACAACCTGGTATACATGCTACCATCCCCACCTACAGTAAAAAAATGATATCACTGGCTGACAAGTTCAGCCAGAAAATATCTATTTAAATCACCAATTAGCCTTAAAATGGTACTTATCCAAAATGCTTCAGATTTTAGAATATTTGTGTATATATATAATGAGAGATTTTGGGGGATGGGACCCAAACCTGGACACCAAATTTGTTTCCTGCATACCTAGTACCCTAGACCAAAAGTTTTTGGTTTTGCCATGCTAGTGACTGAACTCAGCCATATGTATGTGAAGCAAGCACTGTACCACTGAGCTACATCTTCTTACCAAAGGTAATTTTTTACGCAGTATTTTTAGTATGCCTGTGACCCATCACATGAGGTCAGTGGTGGATTTTTCCACCTGTGGTATTCGTCAGCATTCAAAAAGTTTTAGTTTCTGGAGCATTTCTGATTTTCAGGTTAGGGATGTTCAACCTGTACTAAAGTGTTATTTCAACCATACCTTTAAGTTTACTATTTCTTTGACAAAACATAAAGTGGTTTTCCACATTCATAGTTCTACAAGCACAGATTCAACGAAAATATTCAGGGGAAAAAATACATCTATGATGAACACATACAAATTTTTTTTCTTGTTAGCATTTCCTAAACAATACACTAGAGCTATTTATGTATTATTTACATTATAGTCAGTATTATAAGTAATTAGAGATGATTTAAAATATACAGGAGGATTGTGTAGGTTATATGCAAATACTACATAACTGTATACAAAGGACTTAAACACCTACAGATTTTGGTATCCACAGTTGGTCCTAGAATTAATCTATATGTATGGAGGGCTGAATGTATTTTTCTGGTCTGTAGGCATACGCTTCACACAGTGGTATGCTAGCAAATTTTTAGTCAGCTCTCTGAGGTTACAAAGCTCTGAAGTATAGTGTCTTCCAATGTCCATATGGTAAATATCACTACTGTGGTTGATTTCAAGCTATGAGCCTGACATCACTGAAGGTGATGAGCCGGTAGGAAATGTGCTAGCACCCTACTATTATATACTATTTTCACCAAACCTAGATGCAGAACCAAACCTCAAGGAAGTGATGAGTTTTGAGTATTGCTTTTATTTTTAATATTTCATTGCAAGTTAGCATAATTAAATTTTTAATGTCTGTTTAACAACTGATCTGTAAAATTTCTCAAAATTTTAACAGCCAAGGATTTAGCTCAGTGGTTCCACCACCTGCCTTGAAAGTGCAAGGTCCCGAGTTTGATGCCTGGTACCAAAAAAAGGTATTGCTGTTTAGGCAGGGTGTGGTGGCGCATGCCTGTAATCCCAGCACTCGGAAGAGTCAGGAGGATCACTGCAAGTTCCAGGATAGCCTGGGCTACATAGTGAGTTCAAGGCCAGTTTAAACTACAAAGCGAGACCCTGTCTCAAAACAACAACAACAAAAACCCCCAAACAACAACAAAACAAAACAAAACAACCTCAAAAAACCCAAACATTTAACAGTTAACTCTTGTGAACAGCTAGCAGTTGACTATTGCATGCCTTCCATATATGAATGGGAAATAAATACTTACAGGCATTAAACATTTGTTACTGAATGCTCTCTTTTGCATAATTAATCACTTTGTAAATGTTCTAAAATGGAGGATTAGAAGGATTTGGGGATCAAGCTTCCCAATTTGTGTAGGTATATAGCTTATTTCCAAGTCTAGGACTGTCTAAAAGGGTTACTTTTTATAACAGAAATATTAAATGCATTTAATAATAAATGGTCAATAACTAACAAATACCCTCTAGATTATCCCAGGTAATTAAAAAAAATAAATGTAAACATGAAACTCCAGTCCTGTTTAAAACTTCATTATGCTTGCTGGGCACAGTGGCATATGCCTATAATCCTAGCACTCTAGAGACTGAGGCAGGAGTATCGCCACGAGTTCCAGGCCAGCCTGAACTACACAGTGAGACCCTGTCTCAAAAACAAAACAAAACTGGGCTGGGGATTTAGCTCAGTGGTTCTGCCGCCTGCTTCCCAAGCACAAGGTCCCGAGTTCAATCCCTGACACAAAAACAAAACAATAACTTCATTATTTTTAGCATAAAACCCAAAATCTTTACTGTGATCTATATTATTTCTTGACACACTAATCTCATCTTGTATTGCTCTTTCCTCAGCAATTAGTATTCTAGTTGTTTTATCCTTCTTTCAGTATTTCTAAATATGCCTCTCTCATTCTACATGTATATATGCTGTTCCAGCTAAAATTCATATACTTTCAATCTCTGGCTTAAATATTTCTTATGTAACTTCTAGATATTAGTTCAAATATCCATCTAAGCTAGCTCAGAGTGCCTTGATAAGGATTTTTATAAACTTCTTACACTGATGACTGTGTGTGCTGACTCTAGCATGATAAGAGGTACAAAGCAGTGGGTTATGACTCTGATTTCCTTGAGGAGTTGACAGTAAAAATGCAAGCAAGTAAATAAGCAAGTAAGTAAAATAAGCACATAGACTATAAACACTACTCTGGAAGATTTCAATCCAGTAGGTCTGAGATGGCAGTACTCTGCATTTTTCACAAGCTTTGCAGGAATTCTTTTGCTGTGCAGTCAGGATTGGAATTGCTTTTTGTTGTTTATAAGAATGAGATACCACTTCTTTTTTTCTTTGGTACCAGAGATCGAACTCGGGACCTTGTGCAGGCGCTGAGCTAAATCACTGGCCCTATATCACTTCTAATTAAGTAGCAGGAGTAAGTGATAACAAGGAAAGATTTTAGGAAGGTGGTGATAGGTGAGAGGTAGTTCTCTCTGAGTTTTAGGTATGCTGGACCTCAACTGATGTTATTGTAGCCCCTGTAGGATTCCAAGGGCCTTAAAGGGAAAGGGAAAAGAAAGATAACTAGTGGGTTTCTTCTACTTTTTAGTGTTAGAGGTCCCTTTTCTTGCTCAACCCAGAACTGAGTATCTTCTATGTGAACTTTCTTTGTGCCTTAATACCCACTTAAACTTTCTGGTATCCTTGTATCTAACTCAGGGGTAAAGAGGAAAAATTGGAAACTTACTGTTAGTCTGATGCCACTTAACATTCTAGATTTCTCCAATTAACTCATTATTATTTATTTCCTAAACTGACAAAAATCTGTTTGTGCGTTCTATCCAGGTTTTATAGCTGCACAGAACAAATGGCGGAGTATACTTATTCCACCTTTGAGAACTAAAATCTCTGCAGTCCAGGCATCTTAAAATTTCTTTAGATGATTTAGACAAACAGTAAAGGTTGAGAATGAGGAAATAAGGAGGTCTACAGCTGGAAAAGATAAAATCATAACACGGTATGCGCTTGATCCAAGCAGAACCAGCAGTATATAATTTGAGATCAGTACGAATGCAATGAAGATCTAACAGAACCACAGCTATGTATTAAGATTAATCTGGAAATATCTGAGGCTACTACTGCCTAGCATACACAAGGCCCTAAGTTCTGTACCCAGTGGTGCAAAAACAAAAACAGAAACAAACAAGCAAAAAAAAAAAAAAAAAAAAAAAAAAAATCCAAAATTACGGCTTCCCCAATTTAGGAAAAAGGCATCAAAGGTCTGAAAATGAAGTGTCAAAATATGAAGCGTGCAGATAAAATAGCTCTTTGCCAAATGATTAGAATTTTTTTAAAAAAATAATGATGACAAAGAGCTGAAAGCTAGCTGATGGGAAAGAATTATAGTTCCAGAAATAAGAATGAGCAGGCAAAGTAAGCAGAGGCATGGGAAAATAAGTTTAAGCTTTTCTGCCTTTACTGTATTACATTAGATTCACAAGTAAGGTAAATAGGAGAATTCAGCAGGGCATGGTGGCACATGCTTGTAATTGCTGGTACTCAGGAAGCTGGGGCAGGGGGAATCACAAGTTATAGGCCAGCCTGGGCAATTTAATGAGAACCTGTCTTAAAAAATAAAAAGGGCTGAGGACGTGAGGCTCTGGAGTCAATCCCTCGTATGGGGGAAAATAATTCAGGGCCAGAGATACAGACTTTGGAGTCACTGTATAAAGAGGAAAGTTAGAATTTTGGGTGGATGTAAGATCACTGAGTAGGGTATCAGCAAAAAGCACCCAAGAAGAACTTTGGAAAGGAAAAAAAGACTCCCTTTTCTGCCTGAAAATAAGAAGAAAAACACCTGGAAAACCGAAAAGTATGATATTATGGAGATGCATTAGGAAAAATGTTTCAAGAAAATAGATTTGAAAATGAATCCCAAACGTTGTAAAGTTAGAGAGGTACAAAGGAAATGAACACTAAATGTAGAATGTGCCTGTGTCACCTTTCACTCCTTTATCAATCACATATTCATTTCTTTCTATCAGCATAACACTATACTCTGGTATCAGCCATTTATAAATAAGCAAGTGAGCAAACAAACATATCCCTTTATCATCAAACTCCCTTCTATTACCCTGAAGTTTTTTGTTTGTTTGTTTATTGGTAACAAAGATGTCAGGACCTTGCTCTTATGAGGCAGGTGGCAACACCACTGAGCTAAATCCAGGGCCCAGCCCTGAACTTTTCTACACCCCATCATCACCATGTTTGTTGGTTGCCCACCCAGGTTTTCCTTACTTCTTTCTTTATCTTCTTTTACCCATTAACACTTCATCACTCAATTATGGTCTGGTTTCCATAAGACCACTACTGAAAACGCTTGTCAAGTCTATGTAGCTAAATCTAATTCTAATCACACTTAATTTATCAAAGCAATACACAAGAAATCCCACTCTTCTGAAAAAAAACTATTTGCATCACTACAGTGATAATCCCTGGAAGTCATCCAATCAGCTCCTTACTGCTCTTTTTTATACATTTAACTGCTTTGTAATCACTGTGTATATATTCCAGAGTCAAGTCTAGCTACTTACCAATGAAGTTTCTGTAATTCTTTCTCATTCCACTCTTCATCCTGATTTATGCCAGGTAAACATTTTAAGGAAGGCTTGTTAGTTTTGTCAGGTTCCATTGCCTCAACTGAAAACTCATTTCTAACACCACATTTCAGAAGAGTTTCTTTAGCAGAAGACCTAGGTTTCTTGTGTTTGACATGATACTCCATGTTACTTTCCTCAGTTTCAGATTCTGAAGTCACTATGATATGCCTTGCGGTGTTTTTTTTGCTTTTGCTCAGGTGAGCAACTGTTTCTTTGCTATTTCTTGCCCTGTTTTTCTTAACTCCAGCTTTCCTTCTAATTTCCTTTTCAGTTTCACTCTCTTCACTTGACAAATCTGATGAGGACTGACAATTATAAAATGACACAGCTACTTCATTTTCAATTTTCTTCAATTTTGATGGCAACCTGATATTTTTCTTAAAGTCTCGAATGCCCATGTGTTCATTTTTAGGGCTAGGTGTTTTTATTTTCTGGTTGACAGTGAGTAAATCACATTCATTGCAATATTCCTTGTTTTTACTTTTATGATCCACACTGTACTCAGATGTATTTCCTAAAGTCTCTGTGGACTTATTGATGGAACTTTCATTTAAGTCTGGTTCACTTTTTTTTTGAGGCTTTGGCACTAAAAACTCTGTCGTTGCTTTCCTGGTGTCATAGAACAGATTATACTTCTTGCATTTTTGCTCTATCACCTTCTTAGTTTTAAGTGGTGTTACTAAAATACAAGCTTCTTTCTGATTGACAGTCATGTATTTTCTCTCTTCAGCTGAAAAAAACTGTTCCCGTGAAGTCAAAATATCAGTAGATACATCTGATTCTTCACTTCTCTCTCTAACTTCATAAGACAAAAACCAAAGACCAAAATCTCAAATTAGCCCCAAACATATTTAAGCATAAGAAAAATATTTTCACAAATAAAATGTATTTTATTTTAAGTCTCACTGTACAGCTTATTATTATATTAATCTTCTTGAAGCATAGGTCTAGTCAGATCACTGCCCCTTCAAATATAAACACACACACCTATTTATACAAACCTGTCAATGACTTCTTGTAGTCTCCTGGAAATCATAGGCTCTGCCTGGTCTTCAATCTATTTCCAATCTTTCTCTGTCCTCAAATGTGAACTGTATTCTAGGTTTGTTTGTTTGTTTATTTATTTACTGGTACCAGGGATTGAACTCGGGTCCTTGCGCTTGCACAGCAGGCGACGAAACCACTGAGCTAAATCCCGGGCCCCTGTATTCTAGGTTTATTAGACCACTTATTGCTTCTCAAATGTGCTTTGTTCTTAACTTTCATTAATGCTAATTCTACTTGAAAATTTCCCTTTACTAACAAACCAAATCACTATATGCTTTGATTTTATTCTCTAACCTACTTGGTCCACAAACTTTGTCTTGATTTCCCTCAACTGAATGAAAGCTGTTTCCATACTACTTATGTCCTGTATTATAACCACACATCAGTCTTATCTTTTAATTAGACTGGAAAAATAGTTAATGGTAAGAATTTTATTTTCATGTTTAGATATTTTGGCCAATGTTAGTAAGATGAAAATAGTTGTTAAATCAACTCTTTAGAGGTCAAATATTTAGAAGACATAAGAAAAACATACGTCACTAAAACCTTACTGGGCATGTGTACTGTATATGAAATAGAAGTTGTGCTAGATAAGGATGTAAGTAACCAACATGGAACAACCTGAGAAGCTTTGTTATTTCATGTCTCTAAGGAAAGCAAATTAAAAGAAGTGCAATTTTCTAATTTGAAACTTAAGGGCCAGGGATTTAGCTCAGTGGTTCCGCTGCCTGCCTCGCAAGCGCAAGGTCCTGAGTTTGATCGCCGGCACCAAAAAAAGAAACTTAAGATAACAGAAGCTAAACTAAAATTGTAAATTTAAACAATCTAAATGTAATTATAAATACATATAAAGTATCACACTAATCATCATAATGAAATATGCCAACAACCTACACATACTATATGCCATTGTTTATAAGATTAACGACAAATTGAAAGGCTAATGGATAATACTGAATACTGGAGAAAAAAAAAACCCTCTAAATTATAATTTAAAAGAAGTGGTACTAATCAAAAGCAATGTAAAAAGTTTCTACAAATTTTATTTATAGCCACCATATATCTTCAATTTTTTTGCTATTATTTTGTTTTTGGTTTTTTGAGACAAGATCTTGCTATGTAGCTCGGGTTAGCCTGAAACTCACCATGTATCCAAGGGGTGTCCAAATCACAGAGATCCTCCTGCCTCAGCTTCCCAAATGCTGGGATTATAGACATGTCCTACCACACCTGGTTTATACCTTCAAATTATAAGGAAAGTGTTTTCTTCTAACTCTTCATTAAATCCAACAAGTGTTCAGTTGGAATTTGAAAATTTTGAACATTCTAATTTTGAACAAAACACTGCTGTTCAATTTAAAAAATCACTTTCTTACATAATCTGAATAACAATTCAACCCATTCTAGATACTTTAACTTGTATGAATTTGTAATCTAAGCAATATTGCTTTCCTCTTTTATTTTTTGAATGCTTATAAATGTTTTTCATTTTCACTATTTTTCAGTTAACGAATATTAGAAAAATGCTATTAGACTGGTGGATTTAACCCAACATGAACTCTTGTACTTGCTATTATGTGCAGAAAAGGCTCTGTAAATTCTGGTATACAGGACATCAACAAATCACTCTGAAAATCCACACACATACAAAAATTACGATATTAACTTCATAAAAGGAATCAGGCTTTAAACATTCTTGTAAGTATATTTTAAATGATGTCCAATTTTATGTTCCAAATAAAATTATTTAGTACCCAAATTAAAGAACAGAAATAACGTGGCATTTAAAGTAATATGTTATTTCACTATGCAAATCATTGTCAAAATAACAAGTAAACATTTAAAAATATTAAAACCATTTACCATTTTAGAGAAGAAAATTTATAGGATCATCTTTATCATATTAAAAACATTTCAAATAGTAGCCTCCTACTTATCACTGCAAAACCATTAAAGATACATTACCTTGTTTTTGACTTTTAGTTATTCTTTTATTTATTCCTTCACAATTTTTGAGTTTCTTTGAAGACAATTGTTTATACTCTCTTTTGACAATTAATTCCTTCAAAACAAAATGAAAAGAATTTGCCTTTATTTTAACAACCACTATTTAAACATGATCTCCAACATTTTTACAGCATGCATCAAACATACAAACTTGTAGGTGCTTCTAAATTCTATTAATGTTGACATTCAGAAACTCATTTGCTCTGCCTGACCTGTAAAAGCACATTCCGGGCATCCATGATCCTGTATAATTTCTTTATTTTTAAGTGCTTTTTATATACTTTACTTCATTTACTTTTTCAATGAAAGACTGGGAAAATAAGTATCAAGGCATTTACTTATAGTTTCAAAGTTGATGAAAGGCTATGAACATTATAGGACAATTACAATGAAATCAACATGGAAAGAGCATTTCAAAATGGAGTCAGAAGACCTTCAAGGGAGGACTTATACAGGATTTCAGCTACTGCCCAGGAATGTGAACTTTGGCTATCTTCTGACTGGGCAGCTGGAACAGATGGTTACATTGTACTCGTATTATGACATTTTTATTAAGCATACACCTTATTTTCTTTATCTTCTTTTGGTCACATAGCTCCTGTCACAAGCATCTGTTCTCCAACAGCAGCTTCCTCACAAAAGAATTTTCACTGGATTGAAGTAATTCAACAACCATTTGCTCAATATAAGCTCTCACTTTCCCAGCCTTCTCTGGAATACTGATTCAGACCTATCTGAATCTGTTTCCTGAACTGCAATTTCTTCGAGTCTAAATGAAGTCCCTTTCACTTTTGCAATTTCTAAGTTTGGATTGATTGATAAAACTATTACTTATCAAACAAAACATGTGTCTTATGACTTGGTCCTGAACCCTTTCAAGTATCACACCATTCTTTTTTTTGGGTACTGGGGATCGAACTTGGGTCCTTGTGCTTGCAAGGCAGGCAGCAGAACCACTGAGCTAAATTCCCGGCCCTCACACCATTCTTGTAAACATCAAACAACACATAGTAATTAATTTCTTACCTGATTCCTTACCTGTAAGTTATCACCTCCTACACTGTCAATAGCTTTATTTACTTGGTCATGTGGGAGCATTATTGGTGGTTTACTTTGATAATTACTATTGCCAATGTTTACTTTTGTAGTTCCTGGCAACCCTCTTTGCTTATTATTTTTCAGTTCTGCGAGTACAAGATGGAGAATTCAATAAGTGATTACATAAAAGGTAAACTGCTTTTATACATTAAAGAGCTAACTTTGCAAAAAATCAGTATCACATTCAAATAATTTTATTATGACGAAAACCAATTTCATTGGACAAAATCACTCTGTATAGGGTTTTGTGTGATATTTAAGACACTTGATATCTCACAGTTTTAAACAAAGATCTAATAAATTATACTAGGAAAATGATAGAACCATAATAAAATACAGTAGCATCTGTCCGTAAACTGAACTTCCTGAAGGAAGGTATCTGGGTCTTAATTGTCTCCAAGTTCCTAAGAGTTAACACAGATCAAGATCTTTAGAAGGTGTTTTATTTTTTAAATTTTAATTTATTAGTTCATGTTTGTGATACATAATGACTATTTTTTTTTTTTCTTTTGGTACCGGGGATTGAATTCGGGACCTTGTGCTTGCGAGGCAGCCGGTGGATATAATGACTATTTTCATTGTGGGTATTTGGTACATGTACATGACACATCTTGATTCTTTTTTTACATTCCTTTTCCCTTCCTTCCTTCTTCCTTCCCTTCATCTCCTGGTCCCCTTCCCATTTGCAGTAGATCTATCTCCCTGTTTTATCTATCTTTTCTTTGTTCTTTTTTATTTATACTTATCATATAGGTGAAATCACACAGTATTTAAGCATGTGATTTATTTCACTTAACATTATGTTTTCAAGGTGAATCCATTTTCCCACAAATGATTCAAATTATCCTTTATAGTATCTTTATCAGTTCAACTGCTGATGGACATAAAGGCTGCTTCCAGGATTTAGCTACTGTGAGTGGAGTTGTGCTGCTGTAAACATGGATATGCATGTATCACTGTATTATGATATTTTTAACTCTTCCAGGAAGATATCTAGAAGGGGAATAGCTGGGTTGAATGGAAGTCTCCTTTCAGTGTTTTGAGGAATTCTCACCATTATGAAATCAGTATAGAGAAGTTTTTGGTTTTTTTTTTGGTACTGGGGATCGAACTTGGGACCTTGTGCTTTTGAGGCAGGCGCCAGAACCACTGAGCTAAATCCCCAGCCTGAGGAGTTTTGAAATTGAGTGATTACCTATCAAATTTACAAATTTAGCTCAAATTCCTAAAAGGTGCTGCTGCGGGGTGGATAAGATCTAAGAACAAGAAGATTAACAAATAATAAGTAGATTCACTTCTAAGAATATTTTTGATTTAGAAGTAAAATAGCATTTAGAAGTCAATAGCAGGTCCTATAGTCCCAGGACTCCAGAATACTCAAATGGTCTAGCAATGACAATAAGAAGTATACCTTATTTAGGGCAAAAAGTTGACTTTTTTTTTGTACTAGGAATTGAACCCAGGGACTTTGCATTGAGCTGTATCCCCAGCCCCTCTCCTTTAAAGAAAATTTTAAGATGGTGGTTGCTAAATCGCTGAGCTGCTCAGGCCAGGCTCGAACTTGCAAACTTCCTGCCTATTGTTCCCAGAGTGCTGGGATTATAAGCCTGCACCACAATGTCCAGCTAAGTAACTTCTGATAACTAAGGGGTACATGACTTTTTTGCTAGCTCTGGGCAAGCTAGCTCTGCCATCTACATGTTAAATTATCCCTTTCTCTGTACTAGTAAGGATAAGCAAAGTGTCAAGGAAGTAAGTTCAGTAAGAGCCAGGAAGGGAGCGGTTAGAATGAGGTACAGGTACATCTATATCCAATATAGTACCATGTGAGTGTGTGTGTGTGTTACTGGGGATTGAACCCAGGTCCTTGTGTTAGGCAAGTGTTCCACTACTAGGCTACATCCCCAGCCCTTTTTTTTTTTTAACTTTGAGATAAGGTTTTGCTAAGTTGCTAAATTGTCCAAGTTGGGTTTGAACTTGTGATCCTGCTGCCTCAGCCTCCCAAAGTCCTGGGGGATTACAGATGTGCACCATCATGCCTGGCTCTCCAGCCCTTTTTAAATTTTATTTTGAAACAAGGTCTCACTAAATTGGTGAGGTTGGCGGCTTTAAACTTTGAATCCTCCTGCCTTTGCCTCTCGAGTAGCTGGGATTACAGGCACATGGCCATCATACCCAGTTTGGTGCTGTTTTTGAGTCTTGAATTCAAATTTTATAATTAAGAATTATTTTTTGCATGAGTTTTACAGCTTGTAGTTTACAAGAACAAGGTAAAATTTAAAAGATATGTATATGTATACGTATATAACCAGTTTTAGTAACTTACTCATCCATATTATTTAGAAATGGTTATAAATTAATGTTTATATACCTTGGGGGTGGGAGTGGGATGTCAGGCAGATTATGGGGGTGGTAAAGAGCTGACACAGAACAGTTCTGCCAGCTCCCTTTATAGCAATGCCCATTCAATAAAACATGCTATTTCCTCCTTGAAAGCAAGCTTTTTCCTATTAGGGGGTATAAAATTTAGCATTATTTGTAGGTTTTTACTGGAAGTTTGGGGTAGGTTGGCAGCCTAAACATCTTGGGTCTAGGAAACTAAAAGAACAATTATCTTTCATTAATACATTTATCAGTGTATTGGAGATCATTTGTATTTTAATTAAAAGGTTTATATAATGAAATTAGCTGAAAGATGACCATGACGTGTCTGCATCACAGTTATGTCAGGAGTGAAAAAAGTAGGAATTTTTTTGTGTGTGTGTTTGTGTGTGTGTATGGTACTGAAGACTGAACCCAGAGGTTTTGTACAGAGCTACATCCCCAACTCTTTCTTATTTTTCATTTTGAGACAGGGTCTTGTCAAGTCACTAAATTCCCCAGATTGGGCTTGAACTTGTGATCCACCTGCCTCAGCCTTCCAGAGTGCTGGATTTACAGGTGTGTGCCACCATACCTATCTTAAAAAAAAAAAAAAAGTAATTTTCTGGTAGTATAAAGCAAAGAACGTGATACCATATATACAATATATAATGTAGAGACCATTAAGAATTTATCACTATGCCCAAAGAAAACCAAGGCCAAACATACCAAAGTTATCACAGTCATGGTCATAGGTGGTGCTGGTCTTTTGGACGTCATCTGTTAGGTTTTCTGCATCATTTTTCACTGATTTTGGTAGGCCAGGGACAGATCTTACAGTTTTCTGTTTTTGTCTGGCCTTTTTCATTTTCCTTTCATCAGCCCTAAAAACAAGTATATTATTTTTCCTCTGATAATGGTTTTCAGAAATATTATTTTTCTCTAATATTGCCAACAAATAAAAAAATGAAAGTCCCTCACATAAAGCTCTTTTTTCCTCCCAGGCAAGAGTATCTTTAATGTTGTATTTTTAATCCTTTGATGCTTCCATCCCCTCCTGTCCCCAAAACTCAAGTACAACCTCCTAAATGCTTCCAACTCCATTCTCTAATAGTTCCTACTTAAGCTGACATTATAAGAAAACTATGGGGCAAATGCTGCCAGCTACCAAGTTCTGTAAATGAAGTTTACTGAAACACAGTGATGCTCATCCATTCACATACTACTACTCAGAGCTGCTTTTTGCTACAAAGGCAGGAGTGAGTGGTTGGAATACAGGCAACATGTCCACAAAAATATAACCTGACCTTTTACAGGAAAAAAACTGCCAGTCTCCACTGTAAATTATTTATATTGTGATTAACTTAAACTCCACATCCCCCATTAGCTTCCAAAAGACAAGAATTAATCAAATTCTTTGTTTTCCCAGGGTCAATCATAGTGTCTGCTAAGTAGGTGACACTCAATGACTACTGATAGTAAGTGAGAGAAAAATACCCAACAACTTCAGCCTAATATTGACAGCTACATGGCTCTCAACAAGTAGGTGACTGAAAAAGACTCCTTGAAATATGCCACAAGTTTTATTTTCCTTTTAGATTTACTCCACATGACAAAAATTCAGGTGAAGTGTTATTGTTTCTGAAACTCTCGTAAGATCAAAGATAACTTCAAAATAGGCACCCCCTCAAAAAACCCCCCCCACAAAAAACTGAAAAACTAAAACACTGGTTTACACGAGTATATATATTTATTACATTTTGTGCCTAAAGTGGGTATTTTTAAATTAATGACAATTATACAATAAAGTTAAAATTCAAAAACTTAAAAGAACACTTTACCTTAATTGTTCTAGAAAATTAGCAATGTACTCTTTCCAATTTTTTGGAAATCCAAACATGAATTTTCTTGTGAGATAATATGGATATCCTAGTTAATAAAAAGAAAATTATCTAAAAGCCTAGATTTTAAAAGAGATATCATTAATCCATTAAATCAGTCAAGAAAAATATACATATACTTATTGTTCACAGGCACTGTCAATAGATACCGAGGATTTAGCAGTTAACAAATATCAGATAAAGATCCCTGCCTGTATAGAAAGCAAACCAATAAACAGAAAGTCTTATTTGCTAGATGGTATTGCAGGGAAGTTGGTAACGATGTTCATGGGGGAGAAAATAAATTTTAAAAAGGTCAGGGAAGTTCTCATTGAGATAGTGAGCAAAGTGCTAAAAAACCTGAGAGAATGAGCCATGTAGAAGTAGAGTTAAAACATCAAAAGCAACAGAAAATGAAAAGCCACAAAGCAAGAATATACCTGGCCTGTTTGTGGAACAATAAGATTAGTGTTGTTGCAGAGGCATGAGCTGTCAGTACTAGGAGGCTCCTCAAATGGGCAATAGACGCAGCAGGTGAACATGGTTTTGGGATCATTTTATGGACCTGGCCATTAATTTGGGGCAAAATGGGAAGCTATGGAAAGATTCCATGCAGAGGAGCTACTGGATCTATGACTTTAATAGGACTGTATTAGCCTCTATTTTGAGAAGAGTATATGAAGTACAAGTAGAGGAAGAATGAGACCAGTTAGGAGATCATTATAACAATCCAGACAAAAGATGAAGGAAGTCTGGACCACAGGGAAGGTAGTAGGGGTAGTAGAGGTCTGGGTTTTGGATATATTCTGGAGGTAACGCCAGTGGGATGTACCGAAATGTTGGATGTGGATATGAGAGCAATTAAGGACTTAAAAATATCTCCAAGGACTTTGGCTAGCCACTAGAAGAATGGAAAAATGGTGAGGAGTATAGGTCAAGCAGATTTAAGGGAGAAGATTAGGGTTTAGACATTATAGACATTCAAGTGGAGATGTCAAATGAGCACATGGAAAATAAAGTGGATACTTAGGGTAAGCCTTGGCTTGAAATATAAAATTGGCATTTGTTATCATACAAATGATAACATATAGGAAGAGAAAAGGAATCAGCACAGAACCAAGAGTAGAAAGAGCCCTAAACTTCTCCATTATTTAGAAGAAAAAAGGAAAACACAAAGAAGGAACAATTAGGGAGCATGAATATTGAAATACGGTAGTTCAGAACCCAAATAAAGTATTTCAAGGAGGTAGGTGGATTAACTCTATTAATCGTATAGTGGATTTTGCCATTGGTAACTTTCATACAGGCTGTTTTTGTGATGAACTGGGGGATAAAGTATGATTAAAGAGTTAAAAAAATTGAGAATTTAAGGGAAATCAGATACAAGTAAGGTAAACCTTCTGAGTTTTGCTGTACAAGTATGGATAAAAAAGTTTTTTCAAACAGTATAGAAAATTACTGGAGCTGGGGATTTAGCTCAGTGGTTCCGCCGCCTGCTCTGCAAGCGCAAGGACCCGAGTTTGATCCCTGGTACCAAAAAAAAAAAAAAAATTACTAGAGTGATGTCCTTGAATAAAAGAGGGAAGAGAGGAACCAGTGTACAAATGGACAGACTGACACAGACAGGAATAGGGATAGTACATCCATAATAAAAGCAGGTATGGATGCAACCAGAGGAGTAAAAGTGATAGAGAAATTCTCTTCTGATTGTTCCTCTGTTCAGGTTCTCCCTTTTCATCTCTCTTCTTACCTAAGAAAATATTAGGGAGGAGACTGTGGACATTTCCAAAAACCTGCAATAGTTATCAGGGAGGATGGGAGAGGAATGGATTAGGAAAGTATAGTAGGATGCCAAGCAACACACAAGGATCACTAAGGGACTATAACTTGTTGCTGGTAATTCTAAACTCAAAGTAGACTACGTTCAGTTATGCACAATGCATAGGTAGAAAATTAGATTTTATCAAGATTGGGGTTGTACCAGCTAGGTTCAAGAAAGACAGGAACCAGGAAGTTAAACTATATTCTTATAAAAGAAAAGTTAAATTACATTTTTATATATCTTTATATATACAGAGAAGTCCATTTGTTTTTTTATGACAAAACTTAAATTATAAATAATGAGAGCAAAGAGATCAATACTTAAGTTATACATGTGATCAAGTTTTAAATTGTTATTTTAAAATTCTAATTAAAAAAATCAAAAACACATATATGGATTTTATACTACTAGAAACATGGTTAAATACTTTACTTTGATACTTTACTCTGGTAAAATAATTTATCAGAGGAGGTGAACCTTCTGGGCCACCGTACCAATGCCCCCAGCACCGAGGAGCAGAGCTCGCCCCAGTGCAGAGGAGGTGAACCTACTGGACCACCGGACCACTGCCTCCAGCACTGAAGAGCAGAGCTGCCCCCAAGCAGAGGTGAACATTCTGGGGCACTGTATCACCAACCCCAGCGCTGAGGAAATGAGACCTGTGGGCACCAGCAGCACACCCCCCCCCCAAATGGACACCCCCTTCCCCACCATTGAAATGAGAAAACACGTAAACCAGTCTCAAAACCAGACTTCCAGATCACCTAAAGCAACTCCAAAGGGAAATGAGATGGAACAATCTGATACTCAACCACCTGGACTCCCTGAACTCGCAACAAAAGAGGATCTGGAAAAAATGAAATCAGAAATAATTTCTCAGATAACAGCAGAGATTGTGCCCAAGGTGGAAGATATGATTAAGAAATCCAGAAAGGATACAGATAAAAAAATAGAGAAGCTGAGGAACATGATGGAATCCCAACATAGGAAACAAATGGAATCGATAAAACAGATGCAAACAGATTTCCAGGAAATTAAAAACTCCATTGAAAGTTTATGCAGGAGAATGAGCCAATGTGAGGACTGAATTTCAGATATAGAAGGTAAGATTATAATTAGTGACTAGGAAAAGAAAAATTTGTTTAAAATAGTAAGGGACCACGAGAAATCAATCGAGCAGCTGCTAGACAATGCAAAGAATAACATACGACTGATCGGACTCAAGGAAGAAACAGGAGAGAGTGCAGACGACATAAAAAAATTGTTCACAGAAGTGATGGCAGAAAATTTCACAAGCAGGGGAAAAGAACTTGACATACAGATAAGTGATGCATACAGGACTCCAACTAGCATTGATCAAAAAAAATCTGCATATAGGCATATTATAGTTAGGATTCCAGAAACCCAAAAGAAGAATAACATTCTATAAGCAGTTAGAGAAAAGAAACAAATCACATACAAAGGAAAGCCCATCAGAATCATAGCAGACTTCTCAACACAAACCCTCAAGGCAAGAAGAGCTTAAAGTGACGTATTCCAAGCCCTAAAGGAAAACATCCTTCAACCCAGACTGACACACCCTACAAAACTATCTTTCAAAATATATGGAGAAATAAGGTACTTTCATGACAAAGAGCACCTTAGGAACTTCATGAATACCAAACCAGCACTCCAAAGAATTTTAGACAATATCCTAGGAAAAAGATAATGAGGATCACAATCCTAGGTAGTCCTGCAGAATGAATCCATTGGGCATGACAAGAAATTAAAAGCAAAGGGGGAGAATCCAACAACAAGAAAAAGTTATGACAATGATAACTCAATAGGTATCAGTTATAACTATCAATGTTAATGGTCTCAATTCACCAATCAAAAGAAATAGACTGACAGAATGGGTCAAGAAGCAAGGCGGAACAATATGCTGTATATGAGAAGCACACTTAATTCAAAAAGAAACTCACAGACTGAAAGTTAAAGGGTGAAAAACAATACTCCATGTGACAGGAACCGCCCCAAAAGCAGGAATAGCTATCCTCTTTGCAGATCAAGTGGATTTCAAACCAATACTGATTAAGAGAGACAAAGAAGGAAACTATATCCATGTAAAGGGAACAGTCCAAGAGGAAGACATGACAATCATAATTATCTATGCACCAAACTCTACCGCACCCAACTATATAAAACAAATACTAATGGACATGAAAAATCAAATAAACACTAATACAATAGTAGTGGGGAACCTCAATACCCCATTGTCACAAATAGATAGATCAACTAGACAAAAAATAAGCAATGAAATACTAGAACTCATTCAAACTCTTTTAACAAATGAACTAAAGTAGACCACATACTCGCTCACAGAACATGTTTAAGTACTTGCAAAGGAATTGAAGTTATCCTCTGTATATTATCAGACCACAGTGCAATGAAATTGGAGATCAAAAGCAAAAGAAACCTCAAGAATTTCATAAACACATGGAAATTGAACAACACACTTGTGAATAATCAATGGGTCACAGAAGAAATTAAAGAAGCAATCAGACAGTTCCTACAATTAAATGACAATGACAATACAACATATCGGAATCTATGGGTCACAATGAAAGCAGTCTCAGGGAAATTCATAGCAGTGAATACTCCTATTAGGAAAATAGAGTGAGCCCAATTAAACAAGCTTCTAGAAATAGAAGAGCAGGACAAACCCAAAGCTCATACAAGGGAGGAAATTATAAAGATCAGAGGAGAAATCAGTGCAATGGAGACTAAGAGAA